CCGGTTGTTCACGTCGGTACATCGTTTTGAACGAATATTATTGCGATATTACTGTAGGTTGACACATGTTTTACTCTTTCCTTTCCTTTTACGTTACGGTTACAAGAGTTCCTAATATAAATTACGTTACATCTTAGATAAATGACAAAACACAGAGGAAAATATAAAAACGAAATTACTTACAAAACGATGTGTCTGTTACTCGGTAAACGGTTGACGTTGAACTAAATTTACAAACCGATTTTACATATATTATCTTAACTAAAGAGTCCTCAAGGGACCAAAAATAAACAAAATGGCACTAACAAAATATCAAGTACAAACACACGCTCTTATCTAAGAATATAATAAAAAACGGCAAAAAGCAACATTTTTATACATTTTTGAATGTCAATAAAAACATTTCTATAAGGAACTGATTTCCAAGGTAAAACTGGAAATATTCAAGGACTCAAAGCATTTTCAAGGACTTTTCCAGGCCTGTGCAAACCATGTTACATGACGGGCTACCGCCCAAACAAGACCCGTCGTTTCCAAAAGTAAAAAAATCAAAACTAAATCAGTCTATACTACGCTATGTTTCTTGTTCAGCACTGGTTAGGGTTAGGGTAAGGTTTAGCAATAAAAATACTGAGTTTGTTTGAACTGTGAGTCCTAACGTCAACCCCAAAAAATAGACAAACTGGCCGGTATGTCGCAACTTTTTGAGGTGCTTTTTTTCCTAATCTTCTTGTGATTTATTAAATAAACTTACTAACAATATATATGCAAACATATCGAATTTACAGTCGATCAGTAATAAGTGCTAAACTGTTGAAAAGGTTACGGTATTAAACGAATAAAAATGTTGACTACCAGCTTCAAACATTTGGGCGCAAGCTTGTGCGAGGGAAAATCATCAACGCCTTACCTTTCAGTGATTTGCACAGCTTTTCATGAACACCAATTCGTTCCAAACATTCTTGAAGTTCATCCACACTCATTTGTGAAATATCTTTGGTTTCCGATGTCATTATAATTCTTTTAAAATAAATTAATCCTTCCAAACGAACAACTTCAGCACCCAACACCTCGAAGTAACGACAGCAGGATGTCGATCAAGAAAACTGTGTTGTGATTGGCTGCTCGACGTCATGATACAAAAAAGCGGGGGAACCTCAAGGAAATCGAAATTTATACATATTTATAACAAGGCTGCAAAAGCTTGTGATTTTTAGCAGGCTGCTATTTAGTTATACTTTCGATATGCCAAGGAAAAAAATTAAACTCAATTCCACCTGGGACAGAGATTAAATAATGACTTGTACATGCTCCCTTATACCATACAAGCACACCCACTGTCCATGTAAAAATTGTGATGGATCCGCCATTTCAAGATCGACAGAATACGCGCACTGGAAGCTACATAATCAGAAGTGCAAAGAATTGGACGAAATGGTCGACAGTGATTCTTACTCGAGGTATTTACAACACCCTACCAGGACCATGGCGATAAGAATAGGTTTTTGTTCAGGGTGTATAGTAGTCGTTTTTTTACGTCTTTTGTTCGACTTCTTCATGTTTGTCAAATTCTCACGCCGTTTAACTATGATCGCAACCGTTTTTCACTAACCGTACGTATATATTTAAGAAAATTATCAGTCTTTCGGGTTATGAGGATATATTTAGTGTAGCTATAGTTTGATTTAAAACTCGAATTTTGGTGTTGTGAGAAGTGAGATGGAAAGATGTTGGCTCGGCACGATTCGATTCTGCCTCCGTTGTGCTGTCATCAAGTAGTAGTAGTAGGCATCCATCAGTCACAAATAACTTTGGCTGTACACTAGAAACAGTGTTTCGTGTGGCTTGTTAGGCCAATGAAGGCA